AAATAAAAAAATTTTTCAAATTTTTCATTAAAATTTTTTAATAATAATTATTCAATTTGAAAATATATTTTCTAATAATTATAATTTATAAAATCAGTTTATTAAACTGAAATCAGTTAATTAAACTGTAAATATAAAGATATAAAGATATCATAGATATATAAATTATATTTTTATTTTAAAAATGTTTATATGTTTTATTTATATTTATATTTATATAAATATACATAAACATTTTGTTCAAATGCAAAAAGAATTTGTACTATTTCTAAATTTGTCAAAATAATAAAAAAAATAGGTATATAAAAGGTATATGTATCAAATAATTATTCTGATCCATTCATACATTCAAATATATATAAAAACATTTATTTTCTTAATACATATTTGTAAATTTATAAATACTTACCATGTATAGTAATTTCAGTATCCTTTTCTAATTCATAAAGACGTAATGCTTCATCCAGTTCATGTTGAGAAGCAATTCTACATGGATCCCCTTCATCATCAACCCATTTCATTGTAAACTGATCTAGTCCTGCAGCACCAAATCCACATATTGTACGCATTTCTTCTCGTAAGGTGTCTACTGAAATGCCAGGAGTGATATACGTAATCTGCACTTCCCTAATACAAACATAAGTCATTACAATCTTATGTGATTTCTTAACAATTTAAATAATATATTTAATTTTTTTCTTATTATTATATATGTACACATGTAGAATTAAAAAAAATGAAGAATAAAAAAATAAAATAAATTTATAAAATTATTTGGTTTTAAATAATTTAATTAATAATTCAACTTGCTTTATTATTTTTTATTACATTGTCATTATTAATTATTAATTAATTATATTAATAAAATTTTTTTGTAACTATTTTCATATAATATAAACAATATTAGAATTATCAATTTAAGAACATTTATAATCTCAAAATTAGAGAGATATGACATATTTAAAAAAAATATCCATTGCATATAAGAAATATTAAAACTTTATCATTTTTATTCTTTTCACTTATTATTACTTATTATTTATGAGAAAAACATTAAGTAATGTAAATATTTTAATAAAAAAATAAATAAAAAATAAATTTTATCACCTAAATTAATTCAATTTTTAAAAAATAAAATTATTTTCATAAAATTGAAAATAAATCAATCATAGAAATAAAGTTTTATAAGCATAATATAATTTAATATTTTTATCATTAATTCTTAGTTCTTTTTGTAATTTAACATTAAAATTACAATTGCATAATTTTCAATTACAAATTTTTCAATTGTAATAAATATCTGAATATCTGATAGTAAATTATTAATTAATATATTAAATATTTATGTATTAACTCTTATGAAACAATTCTATATGTTTATATTTTTAAATATATAACAATTTATGTTATTATTACATGTAAAACTAATTTATTAAATTAAAATTTCATATAAATCATTTGTATTACCCATTATAAATAATTTTCACTCGAATATCATCATTTTCTGTTTGTGTAGGCATTTTTATTTTATTCAGTCTAAATATTCTCCTTTTCTGTAAAAAATTACATTATTAAATTATTAATTTATAAATATTTTTTTTTATAAATAATATTTTATAAATAAGAAAT